GTCTTAAATTTTATAAAGAATATCTTTGGATTTGAGACTTTAGTCTTTGCAACTTTAGGGATCTTATCTATGCACGAACAGCTTGTAACACTCCAAAGAGAAAGGAAAATTTGAAATTGCATCATATGACCCCTTTAAAAACACACAAGGTTTACATATAAGTTGGTTATGTCTGAAGTAAATAGTTGAGAGAAAAGTGGATGCGTGCCTGTATATTAGATGTGTGCAGGTCTTAAAGTGACAGCAGACTAATAGTACTAAACCTGCTGATGCTTGTTATTAAAGGCATAGTTTACCCAAAAAATTTAAATTGTCATTATTTACTCACTCTCATGTTGTCCCAAACCTGTATTAATTTTTTTCTTGTGCTGAACAAAAAAAGAAGATATATTGAAGGATGTGGATAACCAAACAGTTGCTGGTCCCCATTGAATTTGATAGTAGGAAAAAATAAATTGTTTGGTCAACCACATTCTTCAAAATAACTTCCATGTTCAACAGAAGAAATAAACTCATTCAGGTTTAAAACAGCTTGAGAGTGAGTAAATGATGACAGAATTTTCATTTTTGGATAAACTATCCCTTGAATGCAGGGCTTAAAGTTCTCCGGCACCATGCAGGATCTCCGGCGTGCTGCGTTTGGCTGCGGGAAAAAAAAAGATAGTCGTCCTACATTTAAAAATACTTGTTGATATCATGTTCGAGTTCATGAGAATGTATATCAACAATGTATGAGAGGAACACAGCTTTCACTCTACCAAACTAACATTACTAGCCAATCAGACGTTTTTGCTCTTATAAACACGAGACGCGCATAATAGTATCCAATTGCAGAGTCGCAGCTGATGAATGGAAAAGAAGCCTGGGTCTCGAGCGCGACAGATTGAAAAAGCTGCGAGGCGCAATGGTCAAAGATTTCCATCCAGCGTCATATTTACATAGAAAAGCTATTAAAAAAGCAGCGGAGCTTTGTAAACAGCTCAGAGTAATCAAGCCATCTCCTTAAGAACGATATGATTGGCAGAACCATGGGCGTTGCTAGGCCACTTTTAGGTTGAAAATGACTACTCAGCCCCCCTAAAAATGTTGCGATCCGCTCCATAAACTGTACATGAATTCGTGATCGCCTCAGTCCCCTTTAAATTTCATATGAAAACAGCGGCAGACTTCGGCTCCTCCTCGTCTTTCAGCGCGTTCTTCAATAAGCAGACCGCGGCGGCGCAGAGCGAGCAACGGAGGGCAAGGTGTGTGTTTATCGATAGATTGTTATAATATCTGCAACTGTACAGTTCTTTGTCATAAATACAGTTTACAAAATATCATGGGGGAGCAATCGGTTCCCCATCTACTGTAAAATTTCGCTGCGTTTCCTCATCACACTACAAAACCAAAAAAGTAGTGCAAAAAAATTAAAAAATGCATTTTATTTTGCAGTATCTGTACGAACCCTGTTTAAGTTACCAGTTCTTGGACCATTTTAATGTTTTTGTTGTTGTTAATTGAACTGAACTGTAGTTTTCTGAAGTAAACTGTCTTTGTATATTTCCTATTTTATGTTAATTTCCTAGTATTTAATTTACCATTATTTCTTTTGAACAAAACAATTTCAGAAATGTCATGTTTTAGATTGTAGGTCATCTTGTACCCTGTCAAGGACAAAGCTAACCAGCAAAACTTGATATCAAAAGCATCCTAAATGTTACATGTGTTTGCACCATATTGTAGTGAGTAAACTTTCTTGGTATTGCTGTTTCAAATATCCCACCATAATCTGTAGTCTGAGCCTGTCAAGGGCTAATGACAATAGCAGATACGTTACTAGTTAGTTTCAAGGAAAATAATTTTCTTTTTTTGTTTGCCAAATAACCCTGTGTATGTGTCCACCCCCGCAACCCCCAACCCCCGGAAAAAAGTTCAGGCTCAGGATTTTTTTTTGCTTAAATAATAAATGTTTTGCTTAAATTTTGTTGTTAATAAAACAACAAAACACTAAGAGAAAAATCACTCACTGCTCTTGACTGAAGAACTTTAATACAGTTGCTTTAATAAGAATCAATATATAATTTGATACTGTTAAATACATCTACTGTACCTGAAAATTAAAGCAAAGTTTGTTATATTTGTATATTATTTGTATTTGTTCACATTGTGATTTTTTTATCTTTGCCCACTTTGGCCTAAATGTCTGCCATTCTTTTTTTATTTTATATTTTGTTACCGTATAAGGCTTTGTTTTTAAAATGGGGAAATTAGTTTGGCTGCACTGCACTGCACTGCAAATAGTAAAACCAACATGACAAAGAATCGTGATTAAAATCATGAATCGTGATTTTTCCTGGAAAAAAATTTATGTATTATAATTTTTTATTATTACATTGGGGGCTGAGCCCCCCTAAAATGAAAATCATAGAATCGCCCCTGGGCAGAACAAATTTACCTGGATTTTTTAAAAGGTCCTGTTGACACATGATCTCTTAATGGTAATTTACCAGTAAAGACTGTATGTGCCATTTTGTTTTATTAGTTTATTTATTAGAATTTGAAAGATAATAACAACATTGATAAGTGAGATCTGATTTTAGTCCTTGAAAACCAAAAAAGTAGTGCAAAAAAATTAAAAAATGCATTTTATTTTGCAGTATCTGTACGAACCCTGTTTAAGTTACCAGTTCTTGGACCATTTTGTATAAGGCTTTGTTTTTAAAATGGGGAAATTAGTTTGGCTGCACTGCACTGCACTGCAAATAGTAAAACCAACATGACAAAGAATCGTGATTAAAATCATGAATCGTGATTTTTCCTGGAAAAAAAATTGTGATATGATATTTTTGTCATATTGCCCACCTCTAGACTACAACAGAGTGATATTATTCTGTCTTCTGATTACTTAAAGGGTTAGTTCACCCAAAAATGAAAATTCTGTCATTAATTACTCACCCTCATGTCGTTCCAAACCCGTAAGACCTTCGTTCATCTTCGGAACACAAATTAAGATATTTTTGATGAAATGTGAGAGCTCTCAGACCCTGCATAGACACAGCAACGCAACTGTAATGTTCCCAGGTCCAGAAACGTTGTAAGGACATCGGTAAAACAGTCCATGTGACATTAGTGGCTCAACTTCAGTTTTGCAAAGCTACGAGAAAACAAATGAGCGCAAAGGAAACAAAAATAACATAATTCATTCAACAATTCTTCTCCCCCGAGTTACGTCTTCCGCCATTTTAGAGAATCACAACACATACGCACGCTTTCCCCTAAGCATAAACGACGCTGATTACGCAGATTACGT